TGTAAAACTTTTATCCTCCATTGTGGCCCCGCCCTACCCTGGGGGTCAAGATTTGAATAAATTTGAATCTACACTACCTGAGGATGCTTCCATATAAATATGACAAATCTGGGCTTTGCTGTTCCTGAGAAGATTTTTCCTATGTAAAACTTTGATAGTCCATTCCGGCCCCGCCCTACCCCCGGGGGTCATGGTTTGAACAAACTTGAATCTACACTACCTGAGGATGCTTCCATATAAATATGACTCTTAGGAAGATTTTTAAAGATTTTTCCTATATATTTCTGTGTAAAACTTTGATCCTCCATTTTGGCCCCACCCTACCCCCCGGGGTCATGATTTGAACAAACTTGAATCTACACTATCTGAGGATGCTTCCATATAAATATGACTCATCATGGCTTTGCTGTTCTTGAAATGAAGATTTTTAAAGATTTTTCCTATATATTTCTATGTAAAACTTTGATTCTCCATAGTGGCCCCGCCCTACCCCCGGGGGTCATGGTTTAAACAAACTTGAATCTACACTACCTGAGGATGCTTCCATATAAATATGACTCATCATGGCTTTGCTGTTCTTGAGAAGAAGATTTTAAAAGATTTTTCCTATATATTTCTATGTAAAACTTTGATCGCCCATTGTGGCCCCGCCCTACCCCCGGGGGTCATGATTTGAACAAATTTGAATCTACACTACCTGAGGATGCTTCCATATAAATATGACTCATCATGGCTTTGCTGTTCTTGAGAAGAAGATTTTAAAAGATTTTTCCTATATATTTCAATGTAAAAATTTGATCCCCCATTGTGGCCCCGCCCTACCCCCGGGGGTCATGGTTTAAACAAACTTGAATCTACACTACCTGAGGATGCTTCCATATAAATATGACTCATCATGGCTTTGCTGTTCTTGAGAAGAAGATTTTAAAAGATTTTTCCTATATATTTCTATGTAAAACTTTGATCGCCCATTGTGGCCCCGCCCTACCCCCGGGGGTCATGATTTGAACAAACTTGAATGTACACTACCTGAGGATGCTTCCACATGAGTTTCATCTTTCCTGGCCCTGTGGTTCTTGAGAAGAAGATTTTTAAATGATGCCATTATTTTTTCACTAATTCCTTATTATCTCCCCATGAAAGAGGGCATGGCCCTTCATTTGAACAAACTTGTATCCCCTTTACCCAAGGATACTTTGTGCCAAGTTTGGTTGAAATTGGCCCAGTGGTTCTTGAGAAGAAGTTGAAAATGTGAAAAGTTTACAGACAGACAGACGGACAGACGGACAGAAAGATGGACAGACGGACGCCGGACAAAATGTGATCAGAAAAGCTCACTTGAGCTTTCAGCTCAGGTGAGCTAAAAAGTGGTTGGGGGGGGGGGGGGGTGTCAGGAATTGAACAAATTTGAATCTACATTATCTGAGGATGCTTCCATTTAAATATGACCAATCATGGCTTTGCTGTTCTTGAGTAGAAGATTTTTAAAGATTTAACCTATGTATTCCTATGTAAAACTTTGATCACCCATTGTGGCCCCACCCGACCCACAGGGGTCATGATTGAACAAACTTGAATGTACACTATCTAAGAATGCTTCCATATAAATATGACCAATCATGGCTTTGCTATTCTTAACAAATAGTTTTTTTTAAAGATTTTTACTATGTGTTCCAGTGTAAAACTTTGATGGCCCATTGTAGCCCCACCCGACCCCTGGGGGTCATGATTCGAACACATTTGTATGTACATTATCTGAGGATGGTACCATATAAATATGACCAATCATGGCTTTGCTATTCTTAACAAATTGTTTTTTTTTTTAGAATTTTTACTATGTGTTCCTATGTAAAACTTTGATCGCCCATTGTGGCCCCACCCGACCCCCGGGGGTCATGATTTGAACAAATTTGAATGTACACTATCTGAGGATGCTACCATATAAATATGACCAATCATGGCTTTGCTGTTCTTGAGAAGAAGATTTTTACTATGTGTTCCTATGTAAAACTTTGATCGCCCATTGTGGCCCCATCCGACCCCCGGGGGTCATGAGTTGAATAAATTTGAATGTACACTACCTGAGGATGCTTCCATGTAAATATGAGCAATCACGGCTTTGCTGTTCTTGAGAAGAAGATTTTTAAAGATTTTTCCTATATATTCCTATGCAAAACTTTGATCGCCCATTGTGGCCCCACCCGACCCCCGGGGGTCATGATTTGAACAAATTTGAATCTACACTACCTGAGGATGCTTCCATGTAAATATGACCAATTATGGCTTTGCTGTTCTTGAGAAGAAGATTTTTAAAGATTTTTCCTATATATTCCTATGCAAAACTTTGATCGCCCATTGTGGCCCCACCCTACCACCGGGGGTCATGATTTGAACAAACTTGAATCTACACTACCTGAGGATGCTTCCAAGTAAATATGACCAATCATGGCTTTGCTGTTCTTGAGAAGAAGATTTTTGAAGATTTTTCCTATATATTCCTATGTAAAACTTTGATCGCCCATTGTGGCCCCACCCGACCCCCGGGGGTCATGATTTGAACAAACTTGAATGTACACTATCTGAGGATGCTACCATATAAATATGACCAAGTATGGCTTTGCTGTTCTTGAGAAGAAGATTTTTCCTGTATATTTCCTATGTAAAACTTTGATCGCCCATTGTGGCCCCACCCTACCCCCGGGGGTCATGATTTGAACAAACTTGAATCTACACTACCTGAGGATGCTTCCACATAAGTTTCATGTTTTCAAGCACAGTGGTTCTGGAGAAGAAGATTTTTTAATGATGCCATTAATTTTTCACGAATTCTTAATTATCTCCCCTTGGAAGAGGGTGTGGCCCTTCATTTGAACAAATTTGAATCCCCTTTACCCAAGGACACTTTGTGGCAAGTTTGGTTGAAATTGGCCCAGTGGTTCTTGAGAAGAAGTCGAAAATGTGAAAAGTTTACAGACGGACAGACGGACAGACAGACGGACAGACGGACAGACGGATAGACGGACTACAGACAAAATGTGATCAGAAAAGCTCACTTGAGCCTTCGGCTCAGGTGAGCTAAAAAGGTTAGGGAGAAAAAATTCCGGGAAAGCGAACGCGAGGAAATTAAGTTGTTAAAAATAGCAAAGCCAAGATGAAACTGGAGTTTTAACCTTCCTCAAAAGTAACACTTAAGTTCCATTCGGTTTTTTGCAAAGCATTTTCGATACAGCACTGTGAATAAGCCAATTTAAATCCATTTCTGATTAAGAAACAGTCTGCCAATCTCTTCATTTAAAAAAGTTTGTTCGCCAATGACCGCACTGTTAAAACCCAAAATTTTCATTATATCATCCAATCAAAATTTTAGATAAAAATCCGCATTTTTACTTTAAATGCATTTTGAAGATATCATCCAACACTCTATCTGTATCAATGTCAAACGCACTTAATAAAAACAAAATATTCCGAATCATAAAAAATCCTTCATCACCTGACCACTGTCCATAGTTTCTGCTAAGCCAAACGACTGCCATTGAATGAATGAATGAATGAAACAAAAGAGTTCACTCGCTGATTTTACTGTATAGAGAAAAAAAATCTCCTTTCTTTTGTCTACTTATTAGATGGTTTCAGGTAGAAAACTATTGATGCCTGAACTCCTATTGTGTAATTATCGGACTCCTCCAGGTAACTTTTGGACATTTAAATAGCAATGTTTTAAGTAAGATATATGCCTCATACAATTCTATATGTAAAATTATCAGACTTTTTCGGCCCTAACGGGCCTCAAACAGTCTGATAATTTTACATATAGAACAGTATTCGGCATATATCCATTACATACATCTTGCCTGAGTTCCTTTTTAAACTGAATAAGATATAAAGATTCATCAACCAAATTGACCAACGGTCATCACTTTCAAAATCTGCATTCAAACTGACCAATGCATCCAAAGAGAGGCTCTGCCTGAAAACTTTCGCCCCCTGTAGAGGGTGGTCAAGCAGGAGCGCATTAGAAACGTATATCTGATATACAATATGGCTGCAAAAAATTACTCCTCTAGGAAACGCAATCTTCAATGTAATAAAAAGCCTAATATTCAAAGTCTAATAACTGGATTAAAAGCCATGTTTGACTATTTTTTTCGAATATCTCCCCCATTAGTGCCTTTAGAAAACAAGGTCATGTAGAGGAATGAAACATGTGGTCATAATTTAAACTGTTCATAATTTAAAGATTAATGCAGAATCCGTCTAATAGCTAAGCCGGAAAACGTCTAACAAAAATACGCCTCAGATTTAAGGTGGAATCCACCTAAGATATGAGGCGGAAAACGGTTAAAGCTAAGACGTTTTCCATGTCCGCCTTTACTACGGCTTAGTCCACCTAGCACTTAACCGAAATCCGTCTCAGTCCACCCGGACTCCAGGCGGAAAACGGTTAAAAGTTTTGTACGGGTAACGAACGGATTTCCGATTTCCATATTTTCATCATAGCAAAACGTGAGACGTATTTTGGACTCAAAATTCATACAAAACACGGCAAAAGAGTAAACAGGTCTGCTGTTGTATATAGCCCCAAAACTTTTAGAACTTTAATTGCAATTGCACAGAAAAAGACACATCTCCAAGAGTGATTTTTTCATGAATTGTGTTCAGATGAGTTCAAAGTTGAAAATTATCTCTGCATCAAAGTGCAATTTTCTGCACTTTCTGGGAAAAATGTTAATTAAAGAAATAAGTTTCATTTAACAGCTAAATAAAGCTAGTTCAGGTTGGTAAATAAAGCTATGAAGGTAATTCAAGCTACATGTGCGAAGCTAACTCTAGTGATTGTACCAAACCTGATTTAATCATGTTAATCACTGTTAATAATTATATCCCGATATGATGTCCTAATGAAGATTTTATACAGGTTACATGTATCAATCCTCTGTAAATATATGTACTCTAGTTATCAAATGTATAGGTAACATTCAGACTATCGTAAGCCTAGTCACCTTGACTTCCGTCATGTTGTAAGGTCCTGGTTTCTCCACAGTGTCAAACTCTTTTACTGGCCGTCACTTTCCTATAAAAGTTCAATACAACCTGAAAATCTTTAACAAAAGTTAACGTGTGGATCAAAATCAAACACTAGACTCGTGAACACCATGAGCTACTCACACAACGACCACTGTTCCATACACTTTATGGAGCTGTTTTGCAGTGTTTTCTTACAATCTGTTGATGTCGGATTTGGCGCCAAGACGTGTAGTATTCAACAAGGACACGAACATTTTCCGGATAAATCGTGTAAAAAATGGGGGTGATTGGAATCTGCACATTATCATATCAGGGACGTGTATAGTTAGTATATAAGTCCCTGATCATATGCTTCGGTTATAGAAGAAGATGGACTTTCATTTAAATTAATGAATAAAAAGTTGATATACAGTTATTTATGAACTTAAAATATTTTTATGATGCAATTTATAGATCTATATATTATGTAGAATCTGTTACAGTACGAGGACGTAATTTTTCTTCTCATCCTTTCTGTTCAACAGTTCAAGTGGTTAGCCTTCATCTATAGAGACATAGGCATCGGAAGCGGGGGAGGGGTGGTGGCTAGGGGGCTTAGCCCCCCCTCCACTTTTTTTTGGCAAAGATTAGACATATGCATGTACATGTAATATAGGCATTGAACATTGGGCCGTAGGTTTAACCCCCCCCCCGCCCCCAAATTTCAATAGGCCACATTGCAAATCAAAGAAGGGGTAATTAAGTGGTAGCGTTTGAAAAAAAAAATGGTACTGAAAGAAGTTCGACCCCCCCCCCCCCCCCCGAAATTGGATTTGGTTTTGACAATATCTAATTTTCTCTCTCTCTCTCTCTTTTTTTTTTTTTTTTTTTTTTTTTTTTTTTTTTTTTTTTTTTTTTTGCTTGACAAGTTTTTTTTTCAGGTTTGAAAATATAATTTTTCAAATTTCTTTTATTTCTCTTTCAGTTCCCCCCCCCCTTCTATTTGCTTCGATCCGACGCCTATGAGAGATATTTCCGGGATTATCCGCTACCATTATTATAACCCCACTGCCCTCCCACGGCAACGTTACTGCACTGTTTGGAGTTTCTTAGTGGAAACCACTCCATCAATTAAGTCTTACGGATCCATTCGACCTTCTCCTTTTTTTTTGTGATCCGATCCTCTCGATCCATCCTCCGCTATTTGGGATCCGCTCCTCTCCTGATTACAAGGAGATGGGCGAATAATTAAGAAACGCTTTGATAGCAAAGAAGTTAGTTGAGCTTATAAATATCAGTTGTAAGTATATCTTGATTTAATGAATATCAGTGCAATATGTACATAATAGTGCTTGGTAGTAGTATATGACGTCAAGTTGTAAATGAACCCATTCGTCAATTATGGCGGATTCAAGGGGGGCACATCTTACCTGTGCGCAGGCCACCTTAAAAGTTAAACCAAAGTCTGCCTAAATTAAGAGGCCCAGAAAATATTTTAGAACATAGTTGAGAGAGTTATTCCTCTTTGAATATAGAAAAAAGTTGTGGCCATTGAGGAAGCTTTGAAGTTTGAACTGAAGCTATAGGGTTCTTATTTCATGGTAGTGTGGTCTGACCTTCGGCAGGCATATTCATAAATCTACAGTAAATAACATAATTTGGCAAAGATTAAAGTGTTAAAATAGAATTAAATCAAGAATTAATAGTATTAAATCTAGACCAAGATAAAGTAATACAATATAGTAAACAACAGTGTTTTCTTTATATTCACAAATACTCCATTGTCTTTAATTTGAACATTTTTTTATGGCGAAATATGGCAGGTACCCTTTATATAATCCAATATACTTTAAAAAAAATACGAGTGTTTAAAGTTTCCTTGAAACTGATCTTTTTCTAAATTATGTGTATAAAACCATTGAGCATATCATATGCATGTAACTTGATTAAATATCACATGTACCTATAAAAGAAATGCCGTATTTTTCTATATATACAAGTGTGTCTCTGAACATTGAGTTTAAATAATATATAGAGAACAAATTCATCCATTTTTCTTTAACATTTTTTTCTCATATTTTATACGAACCTTCAATAAGGTGTATGGAATTAATTCTGAATGTTATGGTAAATCATGGTCTCCTTGTTAACAATTGAGCAAAATCTCATATCTAACGTTAACTCGGGAAAACTTGATTTCTATAGTAGAATCATAAATTGTACTGAATATAAATTGCAGGATTAGTTAAAGTTTGAAAAAGCATAAAAGATCACAGCTAACAAAATTAACAATCTATCTATTGAAACAGCTGGCAGTTATTGTAAACCAATAATCCCTTAGGAAAAACGTTTATGCTATATGCTTGTAAATTATTTGTTGAAAACGAAAAACATTTTGTACTTTACTGACCTGTGTATGGCAATCTTCGATTTCAATATTATGATATTATACTGTGGTACTGATCCCATTAAAGAAATTGTTAACCCAAGCGATTATAATACAGTAAGTACAAAACGTTTATGTAGCTATTTAGATAGATGCTTTATGCTGAGAAAACGAATCCATGGACTGTAAAGAGCCGTGTAAAGAATGAAGGCGTACAAGGCGCGGAAGATCCCCCGCGAATTGTCTGAGAGAAGACATTTTTTTTTTTCAATTCTAAAAGTTCATGAAAAGTTATATTTTTCAAAAATTATATTGTCAATATATCTTTTACACATTTGCTTCCTATATTTTGTTGAATAAATCATTTTCAAATAATTTATTTTTCACTAATATTTTAAGGTATGTGAAAAAGAAAAAAAAATCACGCATGATTCGAACTCTCATCAAAGCTCACGGTTAGACGTAAGATTGCCCGCTTTTTCTCTCTCTTTTATTTGATTGCCCGCTTTAACCAGTATGCTACGAAGTCTGCTTGTCTTGTTGTGTGTTAGTGTGATTTAAATATTTAAACTTTAAAAAAACAAATTATCAATCAAAAAGTCATTCAATAAAATAATTGAATTAAATGTGTTCAAGATGACATTACTGAAAACATTATTTTAGAAAAACATAACTTTTCCGCGAGCTTTGAAAATTGAGAAATATATTGCCCCAGAGCGAGGGATTGTCCTCGCCTTGTGCGCCCTCCTTCTTTGTCTTGCATGCTATAACCATTATATGTTACAATATTTTTTTTCTTCTGTTGTCTGCCATTTGATTTGTTATTTTGACTGTATACCAACATGGTGGTGTCAATAAATTGAATTGAATTGAAAATCTGATTCAGCTCAAGTATTGATTAAAGTTCCTTACCGGGGTAAAAAAAAATAATGCGGTTTTAAATCTCTTTTTGTTTTTAAAATTACATTGATTAGAAACTTGGGCATATGACGAACAAAACTTCCTTTTTGAAGTTTTTTACTCATGGCTCACAGATGCAACTTGTTTTTTTCCAGCATTTTCTACAACAACTTTTACTGTTGACATTATTTGATATACCGAGTGAATTGGGGTCACTTATTGAATTTTCAATGTTTCCTGTTACGTGAGTAGATCGATTTCATTGTTAATATACACCGACAGATCGATACACAATCTAAGTAGACACCATGTCTCCGATAGTACATAACGAATCCGAGCAAGGATCTCCCGTTCTCGGCCTCTGTTTTCTTCCTGTAGCAGCCATGATCTTAATTATATTTAAATGCAACACAAGAACAGAACATTTAAAACGAATTTTTAATTATGCACACCAATTAATGAATCAATTAATTGCCTACAGATTGCTCAATACTTTATAACATCTCCACGTGCTTTACAAAGAAGCGATTGTTCGCGCATGTCAGCTCGCGTGTAGAACCATTTTCTTCGGAATCAATAAATTTCCATTTCTGAATTACAAATGGCGGTTTGGATCAATACAAGAATTCTCTTACAGAATCCCGCTAACCATCGGCCCGTGTAAACACTGCATTAAAGAAATAGGGTTATAATTGAAATCCCATTTTTGATTAAAGCAATTTAGTACAGAAAAACCAATTCCTCAGCAATTTTTGGGACAGCCATTCAGTAAGAGAATTGTACCATTTAGTCTGCCTCCATAAAGAGAATTCGAGGACGGTGTCAGGGAAGTTTGTAGTCTGTGTTTTGAGTGCATAATAAATGGCAAATGGGATTTGACGGCGGAGCCTCGATTCACGAAAGCCCAAGACCTTTAGCCATGCCATACGATCGCAAAAGAAGCGAAAAAGGAAGAAAAATATTGAAATTTGCCAAGTAAAATCAATACACGGGTTTCCGAGCCGGGAAGCTTCATCTCGCGGTCAATATGGAGAGATGGGACCATCTAAAAGATGTACGACGGATAATCAGAAAATTTATATAGAGAGAAATCCCCGGAATCAATGGTAGTGTTGTATTTTTTCGTTTTCAATGTCATAGCCAGCCATCTTAATTCAATATGGATAACTCGTGTACAATTCTGGATTCTGCCACATGCAGCAGTATGTCTCAACCATTCTGTGTTTTTCGGATTTACGTGCTTTCTATTTGTATACTTCCTTTACAATGTTCACGGAGCCAGGTGCTTGTTACATTTCCTATCTCGCGGTAGGGAGAAGTTATTATTTTGTATAATGGGGAACGATACTAGCAGTATCCCCTCGGAGGCTAACACCCCCGTCTCCCCCTCCTCGGAATGGCAGTCTGTCTACTCTGTGGGATCCAAGAGACGATCCTCCGTCTCCTCTACCAGACTTCCGACTCCGACAGAACCACCGGAACCGGATCTAAGTCATCTGTCAGAGGACGAAATCCGGACGATCCGGTCCGTTATTGGCAGGGCCAAAACCATGCAACAAGAGGAGCAACAGAGGATAAGGTAATCCAGTTACCCTTTAGTGAACCCCAACTTTGAACTATTAAGTGTTGTTGTGTTTTGTTTTGTTTTGTTTTTTTTTTTCAAATATATAATTCATGGTATACCTTTCTTGCGTTTTACATTACTGCCAATTTAAATTTATAGTTACGTATTGATTTATGACTTAAACTTTCATAGATTATAGAGAAATAAATAATTATAGTACCACTTTAACATTACGGCCTTTCTATTATGAGATGTATTTGGGCATATTTACATGATGATAAGATACTTTTCTGTACTGGATATATGTATACATATACGCAGACACTAATTTTCTCGTACCTGCTCTATAACTGCACATGACTGGA